AATCTCAGCCAATAACTAGAACTGTGACACTACAATAATTCACCTAAATAGAGCGGAGAACTAACTTATTACAGTAGATCTGACATAGTACTGCTGTAATAAGTTTACATGAAAACATGTACACACTAAGACATGACCTGCTCTAGATAAAGGAAGTGCAAAAGAAAATGTCCAGCATGCAGTATGCACTCCCTCTACTGGGCACTGAGATTATTCTGAACAGTCTTAACAAAAAGAGAGAAAATAATGCAACATGTTCTGTCATGCAAGTGCTTTCCTCTTACCCCCTCCCTCATTTCAATCATAATTTAGATTCTCACACAGAGTGCTTTAAAACTCTCATATACACTTTCAAAATATGACACTCTTCTTAAGGGATGTAAACATCTAACTCAGTCCCAGAATAATCGCTGATGATATGAATTTAACTATGGTGTAAGCACACAAGGACTTTCACTAACAGAAGAGTACCAATGGTAATCCTTGTGTTTGGTTATCCTTGACTAATGTGGTCAGGCTGCCCATCCTTCAACCCCCAATTTAAACAATAGAAGTTCTTACAGAATGAGAAATATGACGATGGCTATTTAATGTCTGCCAGAGGGGCTTGAATCTGGACAGCCAGGATATACGGCTAATGCAATAATATTTATAAAGGCAACACCAAGGGGGGCAGACGGCTGGCTCTGGACAGTCAAAGGATACAGGCAACATTTGTAGTTCTTTTCCTTCTCCTCCCATGGCTCTAGCTGAAGGTAGGGACAGAAGGTAAATCTGTGCAAATAACTATAACCATAGGGACCAGCACTTAAAGAACTTTCCCAACCCTCTCACCAGGTTTCCAGCTACAGAGCTTAAAAAAAACACCACCACATTTTCTCAAACACGCACCCTGAGCAGTATGAAACTGCATGACGACTGGAGGTAGGAGGGAGGCTAGGGAGCAGAAAGCAAATAGGAAAACAGATGAAAAACAGAAAGATCAGAGATGGCATACGTATATATAAGTAGGGCCCTACCAAATTCACGGTCAATTTTGGTCAATTTCATGGTCACAGGATTTTAAAAATCGTAATGTTAATGATTTCAGATATTTAAATCTGAAATTTCACAGAGTTGTAATTATAGGGATCCTGACCCAAAAAGTAGGGGGGGTTGCGGTACTGCTACCCTTATTTCTGCGCTGCTACTGGCAGCGGCACGGCTTCAGAGCTGGGCAATTGGAGAGCAGTGACTGCTGACCGGAAGCCCAGCTCTAAAGGCAGAGCCACCGCCAGCAGCAGCGCAGAAGTAAGGGTGGCATGGTATGGTATTGCCACCTTTACTTCTGCGCTGCTGCCTGCAGAACTGAGCCCTCAGTCAGCAACTGCCACTCTCCAGCTGCCCAGCTCTGAAAGCAGCAGCGCAGAGGCAAGGGTGGCATGGTATGGTATTGCCACCCTTACTTCTGTGCTGCTGCTGGCGGGGCGCTGCCTTCAGTGCTGGGCGCCTGGCCAACAGCCACCGCTCTCTGGCCGCCCAGCTCTGAAGGCAGCGCAAAATAAACTTGCAACCCCCCCTACAACTCCCTTTTGGGACAGGACCCCCAATTTCAGAAATGCTGGTCTCCCCCATGAAATCTATACAGTATAGGGTAAAAGCACACAAAAGACCAGATTTCATGGGGGAAGCTCAATTTCACAGTCCGTGACACATTTTTCATGGCCATGAATATGGTAAGGTCCTATATATGAGAAAGAACTGAAAAAACAAAAGGGTGGCAACTGTGGACTGGTTCAAGGGGATAGCAGGGAGAAAGCAGAGATGCCCATTGATTGCAAGGAAGATACAATAGTGCCACCCCACACTTTCAAAAATGACAAGGCAGGGCCCAACAAATCATGAAATTAGCTTTAAAAAATGTGAGATTTAAAAATAATAAACACTGGATTCTTTTTATTTGCCTTCTGGGTTCTGAGCCTTTAGGATGCATTTTGGACTTGCAACCAGGAGGGCTAAAAACTTGCCTAAAAAAATGAAAGCTGATTACTTAAGTAATCACTTGCCTCCGGGAGCTGGGGCTTTAAGAAAAAACACCAAGTATCATCAGATTCAAGATAAAAATCACAAGAGTTTGCAACACTGGAGATACCACACAAAATATATAAAGGCTGATAACTACTACTCTAGATGCTATGTTCACCAAGAGTAGAAAAAAATATTTAAAAAGATAATTCTTCAAAGAATCAGGAAGGCTAGTACCAACTCCCTCATTCAAACAGTTAAGGATCAATTCCATTAACATCTTGACCATAGATCTAGCAAAGTACACCTATATCCCTAGCAAAGGGATACTCGTAAATTCCTTCCAAGTGCAGACTACAAAGAAGTATGAGTGACTGCTCTCATCTTTTATGCAAAGGCGTGGATAGCTAAGACTACAAACCCATTTTGATATGAGGAGCCAGGCTGCAATGCTTGATAGAGCCTCCATTCTTGCTGGTCTATTAAAGAATAGAGTAACTGCATAAAAATAGTGCTAATCCTCCGATGTTGCCACTGCAGCAGTCATGGATGCAAATTTTGTAAGTCCCTAACCTTCTGTTTTACATTTTGCCACTTTGGTGTTGCCACTAAAATAAAATATGCTCTCCCTGAAAGATACAGACATGACTTTAATAGGGAGTCTTGACAACACTTAAGGAGATGAGCAGATATGCAAACAATTCTCCTGTACCTAGTGTGATAATCTTCATCTAGCACAATTTACTTTGCAGATTGCAATTGCTCCCTGGTACATAACAATGACTTGATATCAATTGTCATAACATACAGCTTATGTCAGATCTACAGCAGACGGAAACTTACAAGTGATCTTTTCCACAGTAACCATGCTATTTAGTTCATTTCTTCTCTCCAGTTCTTGCATGGTCTCTCCTCCCTCTTATTTCTGCACAGGGTGCATATCTACACCCCCTGCTATGCCATTCTGCAGACTCAGTGTGCTAGCAGTTATATGTAAAATCTGCTAATGTCCTGATCTTTGCAGTGATGCTCAGCGATCAGAATATCAGTACATTTCTCTTATCTCCAGGCATACAGAGGACACCACCAAAAGACAGCAAGACTTTGTTATAGTAAGAACTAAGGCTCCAACTTTACAAAGATTTACACATGGGCTGATGTTCATGACCTTGAGTAGTGCCAATGGAAGTACTCACAGCGTATGAAGTTAAGTATGGGCGTAAGTCCTCGCAAGATCAGGGCACAACATTCTTTTTTGATAGGCCTTGCTGCTTGCTGGACCATTGGACTTGGATTTTTAATTGTTGTCAATTTCCGTCTAAAAGTAAGTTTCAACTAAACAATCCACCACATGAAGAGAAACCAAAGGCTTTTTATGAAAATGCTTCTGCAGCTCATTATGCTCCTCATTCACAGCTTAAATTTAAGAAGCTCAGCACTAGTTAAGAAAAAGTTTGGGCATTTCGCCATGAAAGAAATGGAAGAATTACTGTTCATTTATTTTCCAATATCTCTTAACAGGTTCCACACTTCAAATTCTATTAAGTTGTCAAATAATATTGTGTTCAAAATAAGCGAATTATTAAATATTTCCCTTTTCCTAGCTGTATGCTCTGCAAGGTTTGACTCGGACACCAAACAATGGTGAACAAGAATGGTAACAGCACTATTTTCCACTACTCATAGAATGAAGGCTTGAATGTCTTTCAAATCTTACAAAAAAGGCAGTAACCAATATTCTGGGCAGAGGGCCAGCATGTGCAGCCTTTCCCATAAAAATGACAACAGGGATGGCAGCAACTATGCTGATTCCTCCATAGCTGGTTATGTGCACATCCCATTGAAGGGAAAGCAGTGGTAAGAGAGTCTTCTGGAATATTACCGTTCATTCAGTGTTGGCGTTTGTAGCTGGAGTAGTATACATAGCCAGGACCCTTCTGTACCAGGGAGATGTGCTGAGACCGAGAAATTCAAAAATCCCAATCTGGCCTTGTCTATACAGCCAAACAGAGCTTAACAACAGTTGATGAACTTCACTGTGGCTGAATCAGACTAACAATTTAGTCTAGCCTGCCGTGACAGATAGAAACTGTATTATAACCCAGTTAAAAGCCATGTTTTACTCCTGGACACACTGACCTAAAATAATTAGTTTTTTAAAAATATAGTTTGGCCATTTATACCTAACAAGCACTATTTGACCACAAACAAGTTTAAAAATTCTTAGTAAACTCTGTTGTTTTAGATGTATAGATGGGGTCACTGACTTATTCTGTGGCCTTGGACAAATCATCTAATCTCTCTGCCTCAGTTTCCTCACATAGTAAAATAGTAGTTAGTTCTAACTGACTTCTTCTGTGGCATAGTAAAATGAGGATATTAAAACTTACTCGTCTCACAAAATTTTCACTGGGAATAACCTTTGTGAAACACTCTGAGCATTAAAGCACCATGTGATAGACTTGGAAGCCTCTCATAATAATTAGCTGTTACCCAACCTCTGTAGAATGTAAGCACTGTAAATCAGGAACCACGTCTTTTTTTCTGACTTGTGAGGTGTTGGCATAGTTTTGCATGTTTCAAAATAATAAAATGGTAATAACAATATGTATGTCTTCCTTCATTAACACTAAACGCCAACATAGAAGAGAACAAAGGACAGAATACAAACTGTACATGAAGAAACTGGGACTAAAGAGAATTCTAAAATTTTACTACCTCACTGTATAAAAAAAATTAAAACAACTAGTGTTAATGTCCTATCTAATAATGAAGGCCCTGACTCTGCAAACATTTATGCATGTGCTTAATTTGGCTCATGAAGTAGTCATATTGAAGTCAAATGGATTACTCAAATATATAGAGTTAAGCACATGCTTAAGTGTTTGCGAGAATTAGGGCCTACAAGGAGATGTTTAGACAGCATTATATTTTTCTGTGTGCAAGTCAAGTGTTTGATAGTCTACTCAAAAAAATGTTTAATTTAAAATACTCACCACTTTTCTTTTCCTCTCTTTATAGTCAATGTTCATTTCCTTATGTTTCTCCATAGCAGTCTCTAATTTATTCTTAAAATCAATGACACATCTTAGACAATCATCATTTATTCCTGCTCTGGTGAACAACTACAAAGCAAGAGATATACATTCTTATTATTTCTGCTACACACATCCTCAAGAAAAAAATTCTTAGTTTTTGTCCATTTGTAACATGACATGCAATAAAGCAGTTTGCTCCTATAATAAGCAATCACTGGTGATCCCAATTCTCTCCTTTTACCTGCACTTCTTTCAAAAACTTTTTTTTAACTGGGGGAGTAAGAGTTGATAGCAGCAGCTAGAGTCAACCAAGGAGTAGGCAGATGCACTGTAAGGTGAGTGCACCTCACCCAGGGCCGGCGCTTCCATTTAGGCGACCTAGGCGGTCACCTAGGGCACCAGGATTTGGGGGGGCGGCAATTCAGCGGCGGGGGGTCCTTCCGTGCTCCGGGTCTTCGGCGGCAATTCTGCAGCGGGTCCTTCACTCGCTCCGGGACCCGCTGCCAAAGTGCCCCGAAGACCGGGAGCGCGGAAGGACCCCCCCGCCGCAGAATTGCCGACGACGACCGGGAGCGCGGAAGGACCCCCGCCTAGGGCGCCAAAAACCCTGGCACCGCTCCTGACCTCACCATACAAAATTGCTATCCCCTGCAATGGACACTTGAGCAGAGACTACCAATTGTGCTGAATGAATAAGTGATTTTCTAATGTCGACTTATCTCATAAAGACATATTCATTTTCACTTTAAACCTACCATATAGGCCATATTTAAACGGACATCTCCAAAAATGAAAAACTCGTGCACTGTGCTAGGTAGCTTAAGCAATGTTGAATGCACTCAAATATAAGTGATGCAACACTGACAGTTTCTAACTCAGATTTATATTTAGCCAATTATTACCACCCTCCCCACCTCACAATGTAACAATAACAATTATTTTTTCTCAGTTTAATTTGCTTTGTTTAGTTTTCTTCAGACTTTATCCTCACACACTTTTATTGCTTGTTGTTGTTTTTGCCATACGTACAGACCAAAGATTCAACACATAAGTGCACGAGTCTTTAGTTTGCACCCAGACGCTGAGTTTGGTGCAGTCACACCATCTTTAGGCTTTTGTAACTTTTTGCAAGATGGTCTCTATGTGGGTCCCCAAATTATGCGGTTTCATAATGAGTGTTAGCATTTTATGGAAGACAAGCTGAAAGCAAGCAAAAGAGGGGAAAGAGCTTTTTTTATTTTTCTTGGCAGAAGTCATCTCACCTGAATCCAAGACTGCACAGATGGCAAGAATTTATTTCTGATGAGTTTGTGCGCATCTATGATATTGTTTATTATGGCAGTATTGTCTTCATTCTCACGCACCTTCACATCTGTTGAAAAGGGAGGAAAAATACACAAGCATGATGTCTTTAGCATTGTCAATAAGAACCTACAATAAATAAGTGGAGATGGCACAACATGAAACTTTGGAACATAATTGATCTCTTCAGAGATGAGTCACAAGATTACTATGTTCAGCGTTAATGCTAAAAATACTTAACCCAAAGACCAAAGAGAAAGAAGGGAAAATGCTTTCATTATGCTGCATAACTCTGAAAAAGGGATGCTAAACCAACACAGCTTAGCCATTACCATATGAATCAAGGATATAATTGTAATACAATAGTGACTAGAGGTTCCAATCAGGGCTCTGGACCCTACTGTGCTAGGTACAGTACACACATAATGAAAAGTTGGTCCCTACCCCAAACAACAACTCTAGGAGCCTGATTTTCAAAACAGCAGGAATGCAGTTCCTGTGCAAAAAATGCAACTGCCTGTTAAGCTTTCACAATTCCTACACATGTATGCAGAAATGGCCAGTTATATATCTTACCAGCCATTTACATGTGAAATTGTAGTTAACTGTATGCACATGTACAGTTAACTGTAAGGCACCAGACTTTTTAAAAGTCAAGCCTGGCTTTTCTACAAATAACTCAACCTCTTGAAATGATATTAAGAATCATATTTTAAAATCCTTGCTACCAGCACTCTATTCACTATTTTATGATAAGTCTTTACAAAGTGTTGAGAGTTTGATTGCCATATTAAAAAATGTTTCCCCACTATAACTCAAGCATATTATTGTAGGGTCATGACGGAGGTCACTAATTTTAAAGAGGTAAGTGCTGAAAGCATTGAAACACAGCCTTCCTCTCTCCTTCCAAATAAAGTTATATACATCCTGCAAACAGAATGCAAGCAATTCAGGACAGGAAACCTGTCTTATTCTAGGTGCTGTAATACATTAACAATGCCATATACTAAATCTTAACCAAAATGGTTGATTAGTAAAATCTATAAATCACGTCCAATACAATCTGCATTGAAGGAGGGTTACGAGATGAGTGGCCAGACGTAGCAGGGGATCTGCTAGAGAGGGCTGAAATATAAAATATTAAGTTTTGTAGTTAATGGCTCACAACTTCACATACAGACGTTCTCAAGCTGTTTGTGTGGTACAGTACTAGGTACCTGTGGAGATTTCAAGGTTGAGAGTGTATTTATGAGAACCAAGCCCATGGTTCCTAACAAAGGTTTCATAGTCATCATAATCGGTGGCAGCAGAAGCAATTATTTCAGCTTCTGAACGTTCCCCTCTGTCTATTTCCTTTTGCTCAGGCAGCCCCAACTCTTCGTTCAGGTCCCTGTTTCTACCAACTATTAGACATGGGGAAACAGAAGGAAGGTCCTTGCTGCAACAAGGCTGTTCATCATCCATGTGTCCAAGCAAAGATGGCTGGCGATCTGCTATCTGCATGGATAAGGAGGAAGTAGGTTTGTCCTCATTAGCAGTCCTCTCCGTGACAGGGTCTAACTCTGCATCATTCACAGTGAAGTCAAATGGATCTGGCATCAAAAGCCGGAAACAATTCTCCATCTCTGTCAGTGTGTCTTGGATTTCCTGGGACATTTCTGTCAGGAGAGAATTGTTTTAGAATATTGCTCCAGGCGATACAAAATGTCTACAGCTCAGAAGTGGAACAAACTCGCTTTCTCATTCCCCACTATGAGAAATCAGTACAATGCAAGTATACCTGCCAAAGGGGCAATTCATTTATCTTTAAATCAGTAACATATTCCTATGCACATGGGTCCTCATGCCTGCCTTTCTCCCCTCCAAATGCCCCCCAGATCAAACTGATATTATTCTCTGGTCTCAAGAGGTACAAAATAGAAACAACTCTCTTTCCTATCCCCCGAAAATCTGAAAATCTCAGAGCACTTATCAAAGATGGCCTTTTAATTGTTTTATAAAATATGAAGTAGAGCAGATGGATTGGTAAGGTTATTCCCAGCAATGTCACTGGGTAAGAATCCTACAGTCCTGGAAGTTATGCTGTTATAGCTGGTTACTGATGCATCTATGAGTAACAACCCAGACACATTTCAGCTGAAAATGACTTAAGGAAACTTAAGACTCAGTTTTAAATTCCAGGTCCACGCATAACTGTTCATAGCGCACAGCCACACAAGTATTCATAATGCACAAGCAAAAAGTATTTGTAAGTGAAGCCAACACTTAAAAACTGTACGGTAAGAGTCTCCACACCACACACACACACTCACCCTCATTCTTCAGTTTTGTAGAAATTAGCTCTAAAACCTTTGCTTAAAGAAACAGCTTTCCAGTATGCACAGATATCCATGGAACTTTTGCTGGACCTCCTATACCATGTACAGGATTCCTACAGTGGTATTTAGCAATGCCTTTTGAAACACAGATACTCTACATGAAACACCTTTTTGATGCCCTGATTCAGAAGATACTTAACTCACATGACTAACTTTAAGCATGTGAATACAGCCATTGATTTCAACAGGACTCTTCACATGCTCAAATTTACACATATATCTAAGTTCTTTACTGAATCAGGGCCCGAGACATTTAATTACCTTCTTTTGTATCACCCTGCGTTCTACCTGAACTCCTGGCACTACACATCACTTGTTTATTTTACCCTACATTACGTCTACATATGCACTACTTTCCTCGTCCACCTCTACAGCCCATTCCCACGTGGATAGCTGCTTTCTTGGAGGCTGTATTTTATATAGCAGAATTCCTTAATAAACTTTAAAGTTTTCAGAACATCTCACCTTCCATTTCTTTTTCAGCTCTTTTTGCTTTCTCTTTGTAAATGTTATCTAATCGTTTCTGCTTCTCCTCCTCCCTTCTCCTTTCAGCCAGAGTTCTGACATTTACGTCTTGAAAATCCACCTGAGGAGGAATTGAAGAAAAGTGTTATATTCATTGTAAGAAATACAGAAACACTCCCAAGATTCCTATCTTTGATTAAATGTCCTCTAACATCATTAATCAGTGGGTCTCTCTACAGTACTTCCTTTTATTGCCCCTTCTCCCAAAAACAATAACTATGGTAACTTTTTTTATTAGTGAAAAATGAGATCATAGGAAGCAGAAACCTGAACATTCTCTCTGCTGTCCAAGGCCAAAGAAAGGAATCTATCTTGATGCACCCTTTATAATTTTGGGAAGCCCTCACTTGCAGTAGGGGGGTGGGAGAGCTGTCACATATGAACTAGATAGAGAATATGCAAAACTAATGCTAGGTTGACCCATATAACTCAAGAATTTTAGAGTAAAAGCCAAAACTGCTACTTGCACACACTGTTCCCAAGAACTTTGCATGCAAGCAAACCAACCAGTCCAGGAGCAAGCCATATCCCCTGCAACATGCAGTGAGTTAAATCACTGAATTTTGGCTTTTACACTAAATTTCCTGGCTTTGGTGGATTTTTATCAAAAATCTTTTTTTTTTATTTTACTCCTTTATTTCTTATTTTTGAAGTACAGAACACAATTTAAGTCATGCACCTTACAGTAGCTCCAACTACTGTTTTGATTTTATTAATTTTAAATGTTAGGTTAATTTGCTCATGAAAAGGCCTGAAAATTTAAATTTTTTTCCTTCCAAAAATTATATTCTGATGTACAAATCTATGAGCTAGCACTAAGAAAAAGCTGGCTTTTGGTTGCTTTAGACCTTATAATTTAGTTACATGAGACATCTCATCCTGCAAGTTACTGAGTACCATCAACTAACTTCCATTAACTTCAATGAGAGAGACAAGATAGGTGAGGTAATTTCTTTTATTGGACCAACTTTTATTGGTGAGAGAGACAAGCTTTCATGCCACACAGAGCTCTTCTACAATGCATTAACTTCAATGCTAGTTTATACTGTAAAGTGCTATGCAACGAATACTTAGGAACTATTATTCTAATGGAATTAGCAATCCCTCCCCAGATGCTAAATTCATAGTCTGAACATCCAGATGAAATTTTCTTTGGTCATAATGGTTGTACATGAAACAAACCATATTTCAAAATAAAATGATGTTTCTGAGATTTTGTTTTGCTGTGACGTAAAAACCACACAAGGTCCTTAAGATCATGTGCTTTAAATCACCGCCCTTTTTCACATGACTGTAATTATAGTAGGAGAGCAAAATCTGACACACATAATAAATGCCTGTACCATTTGGAGATCAAACTATAAGTGTGCAGCGAACAAGCATCCCCTTTTGCTTCCTCCAAGAACCTCTCCTCTACAACATGCACCTGTACTTCAGTAGCCAGGGATCAGGAAAAATCAGGTCTGTTCCTAGTCCTGGATTTCACACACTATTGTCCAGTCATGTGTGTTTCTCATTCACTCTCTATGCAACCATTGGCACATTACTTAAGCCCCAATTCAGCAAAGCACTTACACATTTGTTTGACTTTAAGCACAGATTTAAATTCTAACTAAGTCAATGGGAGTTAATCACAAACCACAGGGCTTTGAGTCTAAGTACATGCACATAGTATTTTGCTCTATCAAGGCCCTAATCTTCTTAAGTATCAAATACTAGTTTACCCCAGAGGAATGAAGTGAGACTTAACTAATATTTGTAAACTTCTTGAAGCCAAGTGGTGGGGTAGGCAATATTCCAATTTTACAAAGTAACTGACACACAGAGGGACTTGCAATACAGTAAATTTAAGGGGGGCAATTGCATCTATATCTACAGACAGACAAAGGTAGTTGCATGAATACATCTGATTTTGATTCCCCTCATCAATCTTAATGGTGTTACAAATCACATTTCCTTTTTGGAAATATTTCTTTCCCCACATTGTGTGTGCGGCTCTTTCAGTGAACAATTAAAATTGTATACAGTGATGTCAGACATACAAAGTAAAGAAATGGAAATAAAACCCAGAAAGTTTCCTCTGATCTTTAGTTATAATAAGTGCATCTAACATTAGTAGGTAACATTTCATTTAAATAGGATTTCAGACTTGTGAAAAGTTTGCACAGTGAGCTAGTGGCACAGTCAGAATTAGAACCCAAGACTCCCCACATCCCAATCCTGTGTTCTCATTGTGACACCTCTCATGGAGCAGTTTCATCCTTACATAGGCCAGTGGTGCCCAACCTTTTTATACAGGAGGGCCACATAACCCTAACACAACCTTGTGTGGGCCAAACAGATTCTACATATCTTAATAAGAATTAAAGTCACCTGTATTGATTTATAGATAGGTTGTTTCTATGTACGGTATTGTCTATTTACACACTTGTGTAAATTAAAATGATGTAAACGTGATGACAAAACGCTAAGGAATCAGCCATTAGTATATTGTGTTGAAGAAGGCTGCAGGCCTTATAAAATGCTCTGGTGGGCACCTGCGGGCCATAGGTTGGCCACTCCTGACATAGGGAAAGAGCATCTAAAAAGCTAAAATAGAATTACTCTGTGTTAGCTCAGTGGGTTTGAGAATTTATGTTGGGTGTCCTTGTTTAGATCAGAGTTAGCTACTTGAGTAATTGTTCTGCCTCTATTGGTCTCAGCAGTAGATGCCTTTTCCTTCCTGCTAGTCAGAACAACATACCAGAATTTGAGGTGGAGGAGCACACAGTCCTACTCCGTTCAGGCCTGCTTAAATGATATATTTAAAAAGAATGAAAGGGGGGGAAAAAAAAAAGCTATTCCACAACAGAAAAATGTTTACTTCAATCTTGGGAACAACATAGTGTATAACTATCAGCCCAGTGATGTAGGAGTTGGGCTCTGTTGTATTAATTTAGATAGAATAGATGGTCCAAAAAGTGTCAACAGAACCCAATCATTGTCTAACATTAAACAGTGTTAAACAAGGTTTGGGGTTTGGTACAGAGAACTCAGCCTCCTTCATACCAGGAAAAAAGTTGACATGTGAAATGTAAAGTATGAAATATGGCTTTCATTTTAACAACATCCCTAGTTCCCTTTGCTGGAAATAGTTTTTAGAAGGAGAACTCTCTTGTTTGACATTCCCTTAAGAGGGTATCCCAGGAGGTAAGAACTATCCTTTTAGAAAAAAGAGAAGTTAGTTCAGATGGGCTGTAGCTGTTATTAAAGTTTGAGCCCATTTTATCCCAGGTGTTGTTTGGGATTCATCTAGAGCCGGTAGAGGTAGAAATGTTATCTGGGTCCCTTTCTCTGCATCGGTCTGATCAGGACATCTCTCAGAATTAGGATGACAAAGGCCCAGGATCCCAGGAAATGGTTGGGATGGCAACCATGATGGTGAAGCTCGCTTCAGTAGCAACCCCCGGCCCTCCATTCTTCTATATTCCTCCTCCCCAAAAAAGTCTTTTTCTTTAAGGACTCAAAAAGGGAGTGATGGGGGGAATAGCCCATCCCCTCATTATTTTGTCCACTAACTAGGCCTAATATCCTACACCAATTTTGATTCATTGAAATTCCAGTTCCTCAACTTCTGTTTTTACCAAGCATGATTTCATCATAGTTCTTGAACCATAGCAATAGGCCCCTTTGTTTAGACTAATTTAGTCTGTCTCCTTTTGGCCCCTTCCTCTCCACGCCCATCAACATCTGTTATTGTAGGTTATTGTGACATCTTATGCATGTTCACACACTTTTTACAGTTAAGCTCACAGAGTAAATGTGTAGGCCCAGTTATAATCGCTTTCATAGCACACAGGAAACCGCACGCTCAGCTCTTAATTCTACTCATGCCCTTCTCAAAGTGAAAAGGGTTGAGGGTACTGTGCTACTTAATCTGAATAGCAGTCTTGTATCACTCAAATGCACTAACAGAGATGCAACACAACACCTCATTACACAGTTATGGATATAAATGCAAAAATCTTTGTACATCTAGTTTTAATTGAATCCCACTTTGTCAATAAGGATATCTTATCTTAAGCCTTTTGGGTAAATAAGCAAGTGATTACATTACTAATGGGCAGAGCAGAGGTGGGGATCTGTGGCCTTCAGAACATGCTCTTCCACTGTGTCCACCTCTTTCCCCCCCCCCCACCACCACCACTTTGAAATGTTTCTGATCAGAAAAAGTTACACGTTGCATTAGGTTTATTAACCAGTACAGTTCCCGACAGTATCAATAGGTTTAAAAATACTCAGCTACATGGGAGTGGAGATGTGTGGAAATCAATGCTTGTGGGGCAGCAAAATGAAGCAATGTAACTTCTATATCCAATTAATGAAGTTACCTATATATCAGTGATTTGGTTAATATTGCTCTGTTAAAGCTTCAGATTCTAAATCAGCTGCCTATAGAGACAGAAAATCTTTGGTTATGGCTATAGCTTGCAAGCTGCCTCCAAGCAGGGTCCTTAATTTCCTTTGTTATATGTACAGCTCTAAGCAAATTGTTGCTGCTTAAATAAGCTGTGAAGAAAATTGTAAGTTTTGATTGGGGGGACAGCAGCAAGATATTTATACATTTGGAATTCCTTCAACACCTGGAAGAACAGACAGACCATACTGCAAGGTCTATAAGGTCAATACGTTGGCTCTACTAGACCAAACAAAGGGTAGGGTGCCAAAAAGGGGAGAAAACATTTCAGAATCCAATGCCCTTGAGTAAGGGCCTGATCCAAAGCTCATTAAAGTCAACGGGTTTTGCATCAAACCCTAATCCCTTCCCAATAGACCCCTTTTGTTTAAATCATTGAATGTCAGCTAATTGCAAATGTCAAGTATTATGCAAGTGAAGAAGTGGTCTGCTAGGTACTTAATTAGGATGCAAGTTACTTACGGTTGCATAAGTCAAAACACCACTTTGGAACAAACTGGAAGCCAGTGAAGACTACATGCATAATATGCTCCTAGTGAGACAACTTGCAAAACTATTAGGCAGGCACATACTGTGCTATTGCACTGATCCACTAATAAGGTGACAGACGTAGGTAACTGCAGCAAGAAATGCATCTGAAAAGAAAACTTTAGACCAACACATTGAAAAAGTGTTCCTGGTCAGTGCTGTCATCAGCGCATAGACATGCAGCTGGTGGTCCACTTGGACCATCCCCCCACCCCTGGGTTGGGGGCACGTGGTACAAGCAGTAGCTATGCTTCCCTCATGCATACAAGGGAGTCAAAGTGACTTCAGCCAACCATTTTTGTAACCGTTTACAAGCATTATTAGCTTAGTATTGCTCAGGTTGAGGAGCAGTCAGATAGCCCCAACCACTGTTAAGCATAAGAATTTCACAGTAGATCAGACCAGCGACCCATCTGATCTAGTATCCTGTCTCCAATAGTAGCAAATGCCAGCTGTTTTAGAGAATGCTATAAGAAATGTTGCAGTATGTAGTTATGGGATTATGTACCTACAAGGAAAGTCTCCTCCCAATCCCCTACAACTAAAGGATGTCTTAAACCTTAACAACAGCAGTTTAAACACATGCACACAATATATATACACATATGAAAACTATATATAGAGAGAGTTTTTATTTTATTTTATTTTTTTATATATATATAAAAAATTAAATATTTACTATTCTGAATCTAGCTATTCCTGAGACAAGGAGGGTGAGGTAATACTGTTTATTGGACCAACTTCTGTTGGCGAAGAAGAAACTTTCTTCAGTCCTTGTCCTGCAGGTTTCCTTTGAGGACACCTTCAAAAGATGAGCCTGGGAACTCAAATTAATAACTTCGCTACACACTAACTATCATGGAATAAAGACACTGGATTTATGATTTATTACAATAATCTGTAACCTCCTTTTTTGTCCTATGACTGCAGAGGTGTTAACGGGCCATTTCACTTTGAATGGTCCCTTACAATGTGTGTTAACTACTTATGCTAACAATCTGTTACACCTTGTATTTAGCTGTGACACACTGAGTACCCTTCCCAGACCTGAGGAAGAGCTCTGTGTAGCTCAAGAGCTTGCCTCTTTCACCAACAGAAGTTAGTCCAATAAAAGATACAACCTCACCCACCTTGTCTAACATCCTGGAATCAATGTGGCTACAACAACACTGCAAACCTAGATATTCTTGTAATTCAGATAAAGCATCCAATTCTTTTACAGTCCTGCTAAGCTGTTAGCCAGAATGAATATCTTGTGACAGTGAGTCCACAGGCCAGTTATGCACTATGTGACAATATTTCCTTTTATCAATCTTGCACTCTTTTCAATGTGACTGAACATCTCTTTGTTGCTGTACTGTGAGAGCCTTGAACAGGGTAAATCTGTCTCCAGAGTTTATGCATGCCCCCAGTCATTGTCATTGCCTCAGTCATTCTCATTGACCCTCTCAGAACGTCCTCTAATTTTATTCTACCAGTTTTTAAACATAGTGACTAGGATCTAACAGTATTCAAAGTGAGGGCATGCCCTGATTTATAAAATGGGCATTAAAATATTTTAATTGTTCTCGATCCCATTCCTTACATATCCTAAAATTCTCTTTGCTTCTTTTACTATTACTGAACATTGAGCAGAGGTTTTTGTTAGCGCTGATGCAATCCTTAGATTAGTATAGAGAAGATATTGATTAGAAGTAGGAGGTAGTATTACAATTGTATACACTACAGCATGAGTGAGACCATTACTAGAATTGTGTGTTCAGTGCTGGTACCTATGCAAACTGGAAAGAAAACTACAAAAAATAATTCAAGGTCTGGAAAACCTGCTTTATAGCAAGACTCAAGAAACCCAATCTATTTAGTTTATCCAAGAGAAGGTTAACAGGCATCTTGATCACGGTCTACAAATATGGAACAGAAGTATTAGTAGAAGTCTCTAATTTAACACAAAGGCATAAGATCCAATGTCAGGAAATTAAAACTAGACAGATTCAGATTAGAAATAACAGTGTTAATTAACAGTCAAGGCAATCAGCCATTGCAGCTACTTATCTTCAGATGTTGTGGAATCTGTCACTTAAAGTCTTCAACTCAAGATAGGATGTATTTTCTAAAAGGTATGGGCTTGGTGGAGTAAAGTTCTATGGCCTGTTATACAGTAGGTCAGATTATTAGATGATCATAATGGTCTTTCTCTGTCTTGATAATCTAGGAGCTGTCCACAGTGGTGTCTAGTATTTTTCCTAAAACGATAGTTATTTTAGAACCCCAAGAGATGTATGCGTAGTTCAAATTTCCTCCAATGTCACTTTGCATTCATCTGCCATTATGTTACCTATTCACTAGCTCGGGTATGTCCCTCTGAAGTTCCTCAGCCTTTTTTAATTGTAACTAACCAAGAGTTTTGTTTCATCTCCAAATTCTCATGTCACTATTCATCCTCTTTTACAAATTATTAAACACCGGTCCTAGTACGTCACTACATGCCATCCCATTATTAGCCTTTTGCTCTAATGAAGGTTGACCAATTGTGTTCTTAACTATCTGGTGTCTGATCCATGATAGTACTTAAGTTCTCCCTCTCCCCACCCTGCGACTACTTAGTCCCTTAGTAGATCTAAAGGCAGAAAGTTGAATTTGTCTTGCTTCAGACTGAAATTAAGGTTGAATTTTGAACAGTAAGGGTATTTAACCACTGGAACAATTTACAAAGGGATGTGGTGGATTTTCTATCACTATCAAATTTTAAAATGAAGATTAGATGTTTTTCTAAGAGATATACTTTAGTTCAAACAGGAATTAATTCAGGGAAGTACTATGGCCTGTGTGATACAGGAGGTCAGACTAGTTGATCACAATGGTCCTTTCTAACCTTATAATTTATTAATCTAACCACATGTGAGCACTGGCTTTACACCAGCTGGCTTCAGCTGAGATGGAAAGAGCCAAACATCATCCATGTATTGAAACACCAGATTATACATCCCCTCTAGCCCACCTAATAAGTCACGTACCCATTGAACAGGAAGGTTATTAAAGAAATAGAATCTTGAAGAACCCCAAGAGATCATGTGGCACTGAATGAGTTCCTTTATTAATGAGATCCAACAGGATAGTGGCTAAAGAGTGAACATTGATATTCCAGCATCAATAGAGAAAGGGTATATTTAACGCTCTGATTAGTAGCATATGAAGTAGTATATAAACTTTGCAAGGCGAACAGGAAAAAAACCAAGAAATACAAAATATATTATAGTATCTCATTTCTTGTTACTGCCTTTGATTTACACCTCTAGAAAAATAAAATCTGTGTTGAAATGAGCTTTAGACATTGTAACACAAGGAAAGACCTATCCAAATAGGAAATTTACACTCTAATCTGAAGCAGTAAAATAAGGCAAATTGTAGAAAGAGTTTACAGGTTGTACTAAATAAAAAAAAAAAAAAAAAAAGTCCTAAGCAGTATGGAAAGGACTTAGGTTGCAGGGGGGGAAAAAAACAGGTATGTAAATTTCAACAAAGTGAGCAAGAAAAACCAGTATTCGACACATTTGTCAGAAAGAAAGAAAGCAAGCAAGCTCAACATTGTTTCCAGCATATATCCCTTAATATTATCTTACAGTGGAGAAATCAACATCTGCCAGAAATCAGCCTTATCTTTCTAAGCCAGAACCTAATGAGTAGACGTGGAGAATTAAACATGCAGAAGTAAACAGGCAAAATACCTTCTTGTTCTGTTTTAAGAAATGGTATCCTAGGGAAAGTTTCTTGTAAGCTTCTCCATATTTTTCATGCCAAGCTTGTACAGATTTAATGGCTGTTTTTTTCAGTTTTTGTGCTACTTCTTTTGGTGCGGGAAGAGGCTGCTCATGGTCTGTTTCAATTGTGAGCTCCAAGAATTCTTGAAAATTTGAAATAATTAACGTCCTAAACTGATGTGACCGGGTGAAGAGCTCATCCACAATTTGAAAAGCTGAGAAGCGTATCTCTGCATGTTCTTGATTCAGCTGTGTCATCAGTAGATGATACGCATGACTAATATGTTCATCTGAAGACCTTTTAAAAAGTAACAAATATCATCAAAACAAGTACAACCACCAGCAAGTGAGTTTTTTGTCCTTTTATGGATTAAAAATATTTTTTAACAGGAAAAAAAGGAAGCTTTCTGTTTTGACATGAGATTAAAAGATATTTAACCCGCAAAAAATCATCCCCAAAAAACTCACTAGGAGTCTTTTAACAAGTTTTGGAGGAAACCCACCATCACCCATTATTCCATGAGTTTCCCTAATTTTCAAGGCAACAATCAATTCCAAAGTGTTGCTTAAAGCAAAAAGAAGAGTCTGGAAGAGGCCAGACTAACGGGTCACTGTGACCTGTTTTTTATATGAAATAGTGTAAGATGATAAAATGCTAGAAAACAGCCCTATGCCAGTATGTTCCTCAACTAAAGAATTTAACGACACTTCATACTTGCAGATTTTCTTTAACTCTTTCATTTTCTCTGGATTCAGTTGAGGCTCTCCTGAGGTTGTGAGGTCCTCGACCAGCTGAGAGAGCTTTTGGTCCATCTGCGGAAACTCGTAAGACAAAGATAAATAAGATCACATTTTATTTGCCTGGCATTAATATTTTGACTAGGTATTTTTATATATATTTAACGTTTGCCAGACCAGCATATTTGGTATTCCACTACATTACCTGAACTAGTGCTTATACCCTCATCTTGACATGACCAGTTTTAAGAATTTTATTAAGATGATGTTAAAATAAAAAGAAAACGATACAGAGTTTAAGCATAGAAGTTTCTGGTTATCATAGATTGGGAGCAAATACGCTTGCCAAAACCAACCACAAAGAACCTGTGTGACAAGTGGCATAATTTTATGCCTTGGCAAAAGATGAGCGGGGAAGTTGTCTTTTCAGAGGGGCAATGAAAGCGATTAAGACTCTACCCACATTGACATGACCAGCTCAACAGCATTCCTGACACGATCCCAGTAAGTGTATTGGGGCATGCACAGCATTATTCATAAGGTACCTGTTCTTTAGGTGGAAGGGGAAAAGGCACCTTGAGCAGGCAGGTGGATATACACAAATTTCAAAGATTTAGAAACTGCTGAACTTGAATTAACATGCAAACTAGAGACCATCAATTTAGGCTTAAATAGAGACTGGGAATGGCTGAGCCATTACACACATTGAATCTATTTCCCCATGTTAAGTATCCTCACACCTTCTTGTCAAACTGTCTGAAATGGGCCATCTTGATTATCACTACAAAAGTTTTTTTTCTCCTGCTGATAATTGCTCATCTTAATTAATTAGACTCTTAGAGTCAGTAGGGCAACTCCCACCTTTTCATGTTCTCTGTATGTATATGTGTATATATATATATATATATATATAGCTCCTCACTATATGTCCCATTCTACGCAGCCGATGTGCTCAAATACATTTGTTAGTCTCTAAGGTGCTACAAGGACTCCTGTTCTTTTTGTGGATACAGACCAACACGGCTGCTCCTCTGAAACCTGGAATTTTAAGGAAACTGATTAAGTGACTGATCCACTTTTAACAGCACTGCTTTGCTTCTCAGGCCTCTTCGCCCCGGGGCTGAGGGAGACAGGGCCAGCCACAGTATCCCGCAGCGACGGAGGAAGCCAGCTCCACACAAGAGACCCACCCCACACACACAGGTGCTGGAACTAGGGGCGCTGGGGCTGCCGCACCCCCGGGCTTGACGTGGTTTCCAGCATACACCGAGTTTACAGTTCGGTTCAACGGCTCTGGGCACCCCCAGGATACAAACCAGCCCCTCCTAACCCCCCCGTGAGCCCCGCCCCTCAGCCGCCCGGCCAGCGACGCGCCACATACCGGCGCTCCAGCCGACGCTCCCCGCGGACCGGAAACGGGGCGGTGTCCGCGCCCCCCCGACCTCGCTTTCACAAAGCCAAACGCCTGCCGCTGCAGGATGACGTTTCATAACCGTCACTCGGGTGCGCCTAGTCTCCGCACGAGATGGGCCTGGGGGAGGAGTCTGAAGGAGCCGCGAGCTCGCGGCACGGCGCTGCCGGGAGAGAGCGTGGGAGCGCGCGGGCCGGAACGGGGTGCAGAGACCCCAACCCTGCGGGGAGCCGGTGCGGCGGCGAGTGTACGGGGGACAGAGCCACCCGCGGGCCAAGGGCCCAGAGACGCGGGGGCGAGGGGTGTAGGGGGCACATGTAGCTGCCCGCGGGCCAAGGGCCCGAGATGCTGGGACAGGGAGTATAGGGCACATGTAGCTGCCCGTGGGCCAAGGGCCCAGAGATGCTACTGCTCAGGGTGGTGAGAGTATGGGGCAGGGAGGGGCCATGACCGCAGAGATGGCAAAGCTGACTGCGGCGACCCTCAGTAAACGCGAGATGCGCCAGGGTTTTGAGACACCCTGGTGTCAGAGGAGGCCAGGTCCAAAAGTAATTACAAGAGGATATTTCAGAGGCCTTGCTGGGATTTTGGGCCCTGTGAGTGTCTTCAGCAGAGACTAAATTCATTCAAGGGGGAAATTCTGCTGGGGTCAGAGGATGAATTTCTTTGCAACTGGGATCAGATAGGGGGATTTTCTTGCACAACTTCAGGTTGAAAAACTTCAAGGTCTCTGGAGTTACAGAAAAGAAATTAAAATCATTAATCCTTCTGGTGTTTGATACCCTTCCACCATATGGGACTCCAGTCTCAGTTACTCCCATTCCATAGTCCATACAGTTCAATAGATCTTTAAATCACTCTGCATTAATTTACAATCTGCTGCCTACAATCTGCATATTGTGACTAACACATTATCTTCTGTGATGTTCGTTGCTGTGATTCATTTAGCTCCACCATTAATTTAATTTAGACGACAACAATATTAAATACTGAATGTGGGGACCTAGCACAGTAATTTTTATGTTAAACATTTGTTGAATAATGTTAGACATACAGCAATGTAAACTAGTCTGACTCTGGTGCAAACCCCAGCCCCTTAAGGAAGCTAATGCAGAGGAGTTGAAGCCAAGAGGAGAAAAAAAGTGCCTGTTCACAGTTCTGTACCCAGCCCAACCCCATCTCACTTTTGCATTGTAAGGTGAATTTTCTTGCACAGACTGCAATGAAAAGATGTGGCCTGTAGGGCTGCTGCATGTCCAGTAAATTGAAAGGCAGTCTCAAATGGGCCTTTAGAGCTGTTATCAACTGTCAAGTTAGAGATGGGAATAAACAATGAGATTCAATCTAGTCAATCTCCCTGCCACTTCAGGGCTGTTCCCTACCATACATTTTGTAGTGCTTAGTCCAGTCTGTCATTCTGTGATGCAAATAATGGGGCTTCTGTTACTTCCATTGGGAAACTGTTCCACAGTTCAGGAGACTTTTATGCCTCAATTTGAAGACTGTTGGGATTATAGGATTTTTGTGATGAAAGGGTTGTTGCTGTGTGGCCTTTGGAGACTAGTACAGTTTACATATAAAGTGAGTTATGTATCCTGATCAAAGAAAGAAAAGGATAGTTTATAAAAAGTAGTTTTCAGATTTTTCACATTAAAGTCTGCATTTAACTGCCCTTATACAGTGCCTTTCAGCTGAAGAGCTAAAAAGACCTTATGACCATTACTATAAGCCTCTCAACCCACAGAGAGTTTGATATCCCCATTTAATCAAATAATGAAAATGAAGTATAGAGAGGCTATGCAGTAGTTTTCAAACTTTTTGCATTGATGACCTCTCACAAGCAAGCCTCTGACTGTGACCCCCCCTTATAAATTAAAAACGGTGGGAGTAATTTAATGGGGGCTCGGGGATGTCAGCCCCATGGAGCTGACAGCTCACAACCCCTTTGTAACCACCTTGTGGCCCCCTGAGGGGTTACTACCCCCAGTTTGAGAACTGCTGGGCTAATGGGTCTAAGCATACATAAGTCCAACGCAAGTCAATGGGAGCTGTTGAGACAGCAGTTTTATCACTTCTGAAAATCAGGTCTTTAATGAGTGACCTGTCTAAAGGTTGCACCAGGTGATTAGTGGCAGAGTGGGCATGAAAAGCAGAATGTTTGACTCCCAGGTCTAAGCACTAGGGTCTGAACTTTATAGAGCCATTCACTCACCCACTGTGATCTGTTATTTTCTGCATTGCTTGTTTGTAAATTTACAAAGGTTTGATCCACTGGACCGAGTACAGGCCTGGGGAAAATGAATTCTTAGATTCTGATCCTGGCTGTGGCACGAGCTTGTGTGGAATAAAGCCAGTCATTTAACCTTTCTTGCATCTGAAGTGAGGTTCTTACCCACGAAAGCTTATGCTCCCAATACTTCTGTTCGTCTTAAAGGTGCCACAGGACCCTCTGTTGCTTTTTACAGATTCAGACTAACTCGGCTACCCCTCTGAGGGTGTTAGCTGTTAGACTCCAGGGCAGCTGGATAGCTCATACTGTATGTGGCTATTAAATCGTACAAACATTCCAAAAAAACCACACATGCCCAGGATTGGGTTATTAAGGGTGTCTGGGGAGTACATCTGCCTACACCCTAACAGAACTTGACTGATTTACTTTTCTTCTCTCCTGTCTCATTCCACACATGTTCCATAATCTTGCCTTTCCCCCTTATTTGTTACACAGATTGTCACCATTAGTTACAATTAGTAGGTGGTCAGGCAGTTGCACCTCTCCAAGTTACAGTACATATTGAGGATATAGCACACATTTCTCTCTTGTATAAGTGAAAGACATTAATTCTACTACCACTGTTGACCAAATTACTTAATGGCTAGTAGTCAGTTAAAGATTAATTCATTTATATTAAGAAAAAAAAATTAAACCTGCAATTTATGCCCATAACACTCACTGCATTTCCCCAGGTTCCTGTCATTGTTACCTTTGATTTGCCCTCTTAAAGAACATCCAGAAGCACTTACTAAGACAAAAAAATGGAAGGGATGTAAACTCATGCTTCAGAGTATACACCAATCTCTAACTGAGGAAGTTAAAAAAAAAACCTTTCCGTATGGACAGATTATTCCATAACTGTTTCTTGAACCTTCCTCTGAAGCAGCTGATACTAGCCAGTATCAGACAGCATACTGGACTACATGAGCCGGCAGTATGGTAAAAAATGGCTATTTTTATGTTTCCTTAATTTGTGCACCACCCACCTGTTACAGCTTGTCCATATGCAGATTAGAAGTTCCTTAGATAGGGACCATCTTTTTTACTCTGTGTACATACAGCACCCTGCACAATGACTCCTCAGTGCTGGGGGGGGGGGGGGGGAGAGCGCTAGGCACTTCTGTAATGCAAATAACAAGTACGAACAACTACTTAAAGAGATGAATGGGAGATGTGTGATATAACTAGAGCCCTACCAAATTCATGGCCGTGAAAAACACGTCAGGGACTGTGAAATCTGGTCCTGTGTGTGCTGTTACCTGGCTGGAGAGCAGTGGATGCTGGCTGACCACCCAGCTCTGAAGGCCTCGCTGCAGCCAGCAGCAGCGCAGAAGTAAAGGTGGCAATATCATGGCACCCTTATTTCTGCACTGCTGCTGGCGATGGCACTGCCTTCAGAGCTGGGCTCCCAGCCAGCAGGTGCAGAGCTTCTTGCAGCCAGGATAGGTTCCTAGAGGTGGGAGTGGTCCCTGCAGAAGAAGAGGAAGTCCCATCCCTCACCAGCCTGGCCAGGACCAGCAGTGGAGCCCCGCATACGGTAGGAGCCCTCGGCCAGGGTGCTCCTGGCCCTGCCCCTCCCTGGCTCTGGGCCCAGCACTCAGGGGTTAAAGGGGCCTTGGGCTGTGTGTGTGTGTGTGTGACCACAGAAACCTCCCCCTTGCCCCCCCACAAACACGGCACCCTGGGCAGTCATCTATGTTGCCCACCCTTAAGGCCAGCCCTTCCCCCCCAAAAGTGAGGACCCCCCCCCCCCAATCCCATGCCAAACTCACTTCTGTGCTGCTGCTGGTGGTGGTGCTACCTTCAGAGTTGGGTGCCTGGTCAGCAGCCGCTACTCTCCAGCTGCCCAACTCTGAGGGCAGCACAGTCGCCAGCAACAGTGCAGAAGTAAGGGTGGCAATACCACAAGCCCCCTACAATAGCCTTGCACCACCACTACCCCCATCGCCCCCTTTTGGGTTGGGATCCACACTGCAAAATTTCAGATTTAAGT